CTGGAGATCCCCTATGTGGAAGGAAGTGGGGACAGGGTGGGAGGCTGGGGGGGATGGTGGAAGGTGCAGGAGGAGGGGAGGGAGAGGGAACTGGGATTGACATGTGAAGCAAGCAATTAAAATTAAAGTAATAAAAAAATTAACAACAAAAAGAAACACAGATTCTGTGTACGGTGAGGACTTTGCCTCCTCTATACATGTTCACACGGAACAGACAGATACAGCAGGCACGCAGAGAGAAAGACCATCTAGGAAGTAGAGGGGGAGACAAAGGGACCCTAAAATCCAGTCTTGCCTCTAGGACAGGGATTTTGAAGGAACTTTGAGGGAGGCTCCCTAATTTAGGTTAGTCAGTTTGAACAAGGGGGGGACTGATATGTCCAAAACCGTGGTATTAACATGCTCTGATCCTGTCTTGAACTTGTGGATGGTATTGGAGGGGGGGCTTCTGGGTGGAGGAAAAAAAGCCTGCTAACCCTTTAAGCTTCCAGGCTTTTGTTTCAGGTAAGGAGGGTGAAAAGGAAGTCAACCATTTTGGAAAAATCACCATCTTTATTTCAAGGCACCTTTCTCTGTCTGCCTGTCAGAGAATTTGTCTAACTTCTAATTCTTTTGGTTTGTAATACGTTTCATTAACTTTAAGCATGATTAACCAGAATCAATTACTCATTACTGATAATTGCATGCACACATGTGAATCCCCATGCAATCGTAATGACATACCTGCCTATAAAGTCATAAGAACTTTGTATTTGACAAGTCAAATAAGTCTTTCCACATACGTTTTATTTTTGAAATGGGAGGAATTTCCCACAGACCAGCTTCTGTTACTTCACACAGCAATGTCAATTTCTCCTTCTCACTGCCCAAGTACTCAGTGTCAAAAAGGACTGATGTACACTTACCTCTGCCTTTGCCCATAGTATTTCTACACCAAGTGGATTGGCACAGGGCATGGGAATATTGTGCCTGGAAGTCATCGTTCCTTTCCTGGACAGCTGGCAGTAACTTTACATGTATGTGGTTACCAGCATCTTCCCCTTCAGTACCGCATTGGAGGAGAAATTAGAGTTAGCAACAACCAAATCCATTTAAGTGTTTTTGCTTTGACAGTTTCACTAGAGTATACGTACATGCAAACATATTGGTCTTTCTTCCTAGGCCTCGGAGCTGTTCCCTGGTGGAAGGTTTGAACTAGAGTGCTTCAGGTGCTCCAGGCTCCACTTAGTCATGCAAAGACCCTGCCTCCTTCCACTCCTACTGCTTCCCAAATAATTGTCTTCTTGTCAATCATCTCAGCCCACAGAGGCTTTATCTGAAGCTCTCGTGTCTTATTCCCATCACTGCAATATCACATAACCCTGCTTTACCTCGCTTTATTTCCTTGTTAGCTCTCACTTCCCTGGGAATGATTTCGCTTAGTTTTCAGGCTTCTTCAGTAAGATTTCTTCCCAAGAGTGGAGAGAGTAGTCTCACTGATGCATCATCTGAAGCGCATCTGGTAGTCATTCCTTCAAGAAGCCCTTCGAATGAGTGGACACACTCTCAGCATAGATCTCTTTTTAACTCCCTGAACAATTTGTTATTTAAATCTCCAACTCTAGTCCTCCATCCCACTAGGTTCAAGTGCAGGTGAAGCCCAGACGTTATGGAGTCTCCTTCAAATTCATGTGCTGTAATGGTAGAGACTTGGGAAGATATTAGACCCCGAGGATGGAGCCCTTGTGAATGAGATTAGTGCCTTTGTGGAAGACAGACACAACAGAGATGAACTTCAATTCCCCATGTCAAAATGTATGGAGGAGTCTGATGGCACTTTGATCTTGGATTTCCAAGCCCGCAGAACTTTGGGAAATAAATATCTGAATTAAAATCACCCCATCTATTTTATTCTTCTATTTCATCCCAAAGAGACGGAGACACTAGGATTTGCAAAGCTCTTGGGGTTCTACAGAGTACTACCTTGCCTGTCCCTTGCCCTCCCTGAAGTCACTGACATAGCCATGGCACTGGTTAGCAGTATTTATCTAGCTTCATCTTATGTGACATTCATATGGCAGGGGATGGAGTCCAGTATCCTTTCTACAATCCAGCAGTTATATCTCTCGGGGCCTGTCTCTTACCTCCGTGTCACCAGCATAGTGGCCACTGCTTCCTGAGAGCCCACGGACCACTCTCAGGGTTAGTCTTTCGCCCACGGACCATTCTGTGGGCCAGTCTTTCATCACTCATCTCAATGGCATTCTCCTCGCTTTCCTCCCTGTCTGGCACACATTACACACTTATTTCATGGAGGGTTAGGCGTTCCAAAGCCTGACCCTCCATCTTCTGTTGCATCTCAGCAAATGACCTTGAGATAGGGACACAGCAGGAGTCTGACCACTTGCTTAGAACAGCAAAAAATGGAGAAGCTGAATAATAAAAACAATTATCACAGTCTGAGAGTGTTTTATATATTTTTACATATGGTAAAGACATGAATTTCAGCTAAGTTACCCATGTGGATTACTCTTTTAAAAATATTTATCTATTTATTTGTTGTGTGTGTATATATATATACATATATATATATATTATGTGTGTGAAGGTGTGTGGAAACAGAGTGGAAATGGAGTCATAGTCAGTTATGAGCCACCTGATTAGATGCTGGGACCTGAACTTGGGTCTTCTGCCAGAGCAGCAAGTGATTCTGACTTGGGAGTCATCTTCCCAGCCTCCATATCTATCACTCTTAAGATTAAATTAATGTGTCCTGAATTTTCATATAGAAATCCTGTTCCCCCCATCCATGCTTCAGAATGTGATTATATTTGGAAGTAAATCTTTAAAATGTAATTAATTGAGATAATTAGGGTCGGCTCTACTCACAATGACTGATCTCCTCATTATAAGAGGAGAGTAGGACAAAGTCTACGAAGAGCACATTGTAGTTTAGATGTAAGCTGTGCCTCTGTCAGAGTCCGTGTTTGAACACTTGGTTCCCAGCTGGTGGATCTGGAGGAAGCGTGTCTGTGGAGGCAGGCCCTGAGGTTTTATAAGCTGACCTCCCTTGTCTGCTCCCTGAGTGGGAACACAGTATGACCAGCTGCCCCCTGATCCTTTGCCTTCCCCACTGGGATGAGTCATAGCCCTTCTTAAGCAGTAATACAGAGTGAACCTTCCTTCCCTGAGTTGACTATTGTCAAGTTCTTGGCTATATCAGTAAGAAAAGTAACCAACCCGCACTGTGGAAACAGAGTGGACAGCCATCTACAAGCCAAGGGGAATACCCGGAACTTGTCTCTCCTGGCACCGTGATTCCAGAACCCTCCACATCAGTAGCTTTTGCGCTGCTGTGACAAAGATACTTGGCAGAAGCAGCACAAGGGAGGAAGGGCTTACTCCGGCTGAGAGCTTGTGGGTATAGACCATCATGGCAGCAGGAGAGTAAGGCTTGCCTCCTCCCATCTCGAAGCAGATATGAAGCAGAAAGCTGTGGCCAGAGCCAGAAAAGGACCTGCTCTTCAAGGCCAACCCTAGTGACCCACCTTTGCTAGGTTAGGCCACAGTCACAAAGATTCCACAACCCCCAAAAGTGGTGCCACCAGCTGGGGACCCAGTGTTCAAACACAAGACATACAAACCATGACACCCCCCAGAACTGTGACATGATTTTGCTGTGTAAGTCCAGCAGTCTTTGCTTGGTGTTGGTAGCCCCCAGCAGTAACGCATACTCCAAGGCTCCAAGATTGAGAAAGGCAGCCGCTCTGAGCTCTCTGTGGAAGCCATTGTTGTTGGTGAGCATGCCCCGTGCTCTGCGACCCTCATGATAGAATATAAACCACCAGGAGTGGCAGTTCCTCTGCATACCATGTCAGCCACAGAAGAGAGGTCAGATGAAGGAAGAAGGAAATGCTTCAGGGAGGGCCCAAGGGCATCCTCTCTCACTGTTCATCCTGTCCTCCAACTGGAGCTGCAGAGTCTGCACCTGCTCAGATGACATCTGGACAGCATGCCTTCCAAGAGAAGACATAAATATTCGAGGCCCACCAGGCCTTGGTGGGTCAGCAGGTGATGAGGAACCAGTGATCCTCTGACAGAAATATTACAGCACATGTTCACAGTGACCTCACAAATGTTTAGACGTTGTGTTGTGTGTCTCTGTATCTTCTGGCAGCTGATGGCGGCTAAGGGAGGGAGGGTCAGTTTTCACCGGGGATGCTCGCTAAGGCTACCTGTATTCCTGTACACCATGCTCCACCTGTTCAGAGGACTCAGTCAGTTTAACAGACAACCACATGAAACTGGCAGGAAATAGCAGTGGTGGAAATAGGGGGAGAATTGGAGTGGAGAGGAGGGATAGGGGACAGATTGGACCTAAGAACAGTATATGCATGCATGAAATGAACAGCACCAGCAAAAAGTATCTCAAATCTTGCAACAGAAAAAAGTTACTAGAAGATAGTTTCCAGTGGAATGCCCCTCCACTTTTCTCTCACCCTCTCCGTCCTACTCTAAACATATGTTAGTTCAGAAAAGATTTTAAAAATGCTTTTATTTTGCTTTCTGCAGGCAACAGTACTGAAACTCGCTTTTCTTTCTTTTTTCATTTATCAATGTGGTAGATATGGATGTATTTGAGAGAGAGAGAGAGAGAGAGAGAGAGAGAGAGAGAGAGAGAGAGAGAGAGAGAGAGAGAGAGAGAGAGAGAGAGAGAGCCCAACTCTCTAGTAATTGAGTTCTGAGAGCTTATACTTTACTCATGGAAGTTAAAACTCCCCCAAGTTGGCTACTATTTATAGAACCACTAAATCGCCATTCTATTCAGGTTCTGGCACCGAACCGGTCAAAGCAAGAGCAATGCTGTTCTCCCTGCTCTTCATGCACCCCATCTTATCCCAAACCGGGCTTTTTCTTTTCGTGTGAAGCTCTGTCCTTTTTGCTGAAGTGGGCCGAGCAAAGGGTGTGACGCAAGAGAGGGCGGTACAGGTGCTGGGAGGGCGGTGGGGAGGCTTGGCCTCGGCGCACTTTCCCCGCAGCCAGCCGCGGGGCAGCCCTGCTTCCTGCACCCTCCGCACCAGCCCAGCTTCAGGCGCATCCTCCACCGCACCCCGGCCTCTTGCCTGTCTTTCCCAAGCTCTTGATGCTGCCCAGCTGAAAGGAGAAAATGGGCACCGGCGATTTTATCTGCGTTTCCATGACTGGAGGGGCGCCCTGGGGGTTCCGACTGCAAGGCGGCAAGGAGCAGAAGCAGCCCTTGCTAGTCGCCAAGGTAGGACCAAGAGAGGTGTTCTGAGCTGTCAGACCTGGGAAGGAGGGGTCGAGACAACCTGTTGATGGTCTTTCTAGTCGGTCGTTGGCTTGCTTTTTGCGCCGTTGATGGATTTATCTAGGATGTGGCTTTTTTAAAAAAGAATTTCGTAAAGAAATGTACACCATACGCCATGTAATTAGCTATCAATTATGCCGTCTGAATCTGGTGAAGAAGGGCTGGTTAGCTGTCATCTGCCAGCTAGCAGCCTTGGACTGCTTCGATGTGCTCGCCTCCGTTCACATCGCTTTGCGGCTTTGCGTGACTCCCAACAGAGGAGAAAGGTCTTGCTTCCCAGACAACCACTGTGCTCTAATAACACTTGGTAGTGACATTTAGTGCGCAACAGGCATAAAAAGGTCAGTTTGGGACGGTAAGAGATAAAGAATTGTCATGAGATCTGTTTCAAAGAATAGCCTTTTAAGGATTTAAAGAAGTGCAAAGCCCAACTACTATATTTCATTCACTCTCTCACCTGGCAAAGAGCACAGGCTAGAGTCACAGATACTTTATTATTTTTTTAATTTCATTTTATTAAAATATGATTGCGTTATTTCCCTCCATTCCCTTTCCTTCCTCCAACTCCTCCCATGTCCCCTGATCTCTTCTTTTATAGTGGTTAAATGAGTGTATATATTTATATTATATGTTTGTATAGGCATAAACATATAAACAACCGGCTGAGTCTGTTCAGTGTACCCACAGATATTTATATATGCACTAGTTAAAACAAACTTTCTGGTGCACCTAGTAGCTATTTAATATCATTGTCACATTAGATTGATGTTCAGCGTAGAACAACACCCACAATCTAACAGAGAGCTCTAGTTTCTAATTGGCACTCAGGTAAAATAAAGTTAAAACACAAGAAGGCAAGCTCTTTTAGTCAAATGTTAATCCAAACTGTAGATTTCCACGACAGTGCATGACGGCAGAAGAGGTTACTTTCTTGTTGCATTTTTATATTTACAACGACTCTAGATCTCTATGAAGCATCTGGGTCACTTTGCTTTGTAGCTCTTCTCTCCCTGCGTCTTTTTACCTTTTACAAATGGTCCCGGCAAAGACAGAAGTTTCTTTGAAAATTTCTGCTTCCAGGCATCTATCAGAAACTCCTTTCTTTGGTGGGAGAGTTCTGCCACCTAGTGAGGAGTCCAGAAACGGAGTGTGAGCTTGGACCTGGGAGATGAAAGCAGTTTATATCTGGAAAGTTCCTCAGAGGTCCCCGTTCTTTTGAGCCCAGAGAGGCTGAGTCCTCTCGAGGCTCTGTTTGGAAGGGCAGAAGGACAAAGCGTTGGAAGGCTGCTCCGTTGGGATTCTTCAAGAATCAGGAACCAACAGCAGATGCAGGGTGAATGCCGGATTCAGCGTACTACAAGGCTCAGGAGACTAAGGCAGATTTACTCAGTATCAGTTGGTTGGCTGGCTCCAGTAGCTGAGATTCGGGTTCTAATTGCAGCTCTGACCTAACTTGCAGTTTGACCCAAGGCCCGTTGGTCACTGGGCCTGACTCAGTTGTCATGGAAGGGGAGATGTTGCCTGGGTAGGGAAGGAGAAAATGGAGGAAGAAATTGGACCTATACACTCCATGAGCTCTACCTTGCTCAAATATTCACTAATTCTAACAGTATGTAGTGTAGAGTCCCTCACCTGCTAACTGAAGTGTGGGGACAGAGGTGGCCGACAGCTGGAATTCTGCACAGGCTTTTCCATGGCCAAGCCTGGAAAACACAGCGGATGGTGGGTTTCCTCTGAGTTCTCTTATGCACTGACTTTAGGCTGTGGTAACTCTGTGAAGCAAATTTCTGGGTCCTGTGGCTCATTTTCCCCTGTCTCTCAATTGCCAGGCTGTATGAAAATCAAGTCCACTAGTCCTCCACTCTGCCCAAATCATCTTTCCTAAAATATCCAGGCAATACGTTGAAGGCTTTTAAAATCATGATGAAAGCAACGAGGTGTTCACTTTAATGAGTTAGGCTGTCAGAGGCTGGGGTGTGGGTCAGGAGGAGAGCATGTGGGAGACTGAGTTCACTCCCCCACACCACACTGTATAGTTTCCTGATTTATTTAGAGTGGATTTTAAAATACTATTATGAAAGCTTTGAATGCGTGTTTCATATGTGTTTCTGTGGGCACACCACACCCTACCGCCTGCCTTTTCCATATGTTAATGAACTGTAAAATGAGTTAAGCGAGGTGGAGGTGTAAGTGTCAGATGACTGTTACTATGTCTTTCCATGTTTGTCACTGATTCACATTTGTTATATTTGGTGTTTTTTTATTATATCATACTTGTTTTACCTTGGAACTTTCTAAGACACTGCAACAATTCAGTGAGTGAACCTCCAGTAAAGGTTTTTCACTGAGTTCAAGGAGAGTGAATGTCAGTTGCCTATACACTGTCTGTCTCATCCTGACTGAGCTCCCAGCAGGAGGGAGTAAGCAAAGGAGGGGAAAGCCTCAGTGGAGGAGGACAGCCAGTGAGGGAAATAAGGGATATGCAAATGAAACACGCAGGAGGCAAAGACTGGAGTATCAGCACAGCCATCTACATCTGCATAGTGAGTTCTAGCCCAGCCTCAGTTACCTTAAATCCTCTTTCAACAAAATCCATACAAGTTATTCATTTTAGAGTTTAAAAGCTATAAGCATTTCTAAAAAATAGAAACTTTAAAGCAGTGTTCTTTGGCTTATAATAAAATACTTCAGTGTCTAGATTTTCTATAATCCTATGTAGCAGTTCTAACAGGCTGAAACAGTATAATAAAAATTTAGTTCAGTATTATTAAGTTCAGAAATTTAATTGATATTTAGCCTCCAGGAAATATCTCTCTAGTGACAATTTAGCTATTTATGAGAAATGAACATATGTTTTTAACATTTGCCAGGTGCACTAAATTGTACACAAAACCACAATTTTAAAGATTCAAAAGAAGAATATTTGTGAAAGTTTTCATTGACTTTCAAGTTCAATGCTATAAAATTTTTTTTAATCAACTGAAAAACTTAAAGTCCAAGTAATCAGTAATATTATCCATGTCTATGGTCTGTGATTAGAAACAGAACTTTGTAATACCACTCACAGGGTAATCCTCAGTCAAGCAGATTCTCTATCCATCCCAGGAGCAAGTTTATCTAGACAGAAAGCCCCATTGTGTGTGTGTTTTCACATTTCCTCACAAAAGGATGTCAATGTTATCGGGGACATGTGCCTACATGGCTGTGTCCCTGGCAGTTCCTTAGCATCTTCCTATAAAGACTTGGAGAGAAGGCTTTGTTTTGCGAAAAAATCTTGTGATTGAAAAGTAACTCACATTTTGAAAGCAATGAGAAAATAAATGGTCAGACTAAATATAAGTTAAGGTGGTTCACCATAAAGGTTTCTTTAAAAAAAAAATACCGTAGCCTGTGCCCAGCCCTGAGTTAGTGAGTCTGAGGTTTGCCCTGGCGTCAATATTTCTTAACATTCCAAGGAGATGGATCTGACCAAAACATGAGCCCTACTGAAGAGAGCTGAGGCCAGCCATGCCCCCTAAGAGCTGCCTAGGGCCTGGCATGTCCTGTGAGCACTTCCCCAGAGGAGGACCAGGGGGAGGCTAGGCGCTGTGTGAGTCTCTGGCATTGTGAACAGGGAGGATTTCCCCTTCTGATGTCAAGATAAGTGGGCCATTGGATCAAGAAGAGTGTTGGGAAGCCCCAAAGTGACCATGCTAAACACCAGGGATGCCTACCAGATGGGACAGTGTGCATTTGTCCCCATGTGTTTGTTTGGTCAGTGGGTGTGATAGTTGAATGAGAATAGCCCTACAGGCTTCCATATTTGAGTACTTATTCACCAGGGAGTGGAACAGTTAAGAAGGATTAGGAGGCGTGGCCTTGCTGGAGGAGGTGTGTCACTAGGGGTGGGCTTTGAGGTTTCAAAAGCCGGGTCTCTTGCCCTGCCTACTCTGCCTGTGGATCAGGATGTGAGCTCTCAGCTACTGCTCCAGCACCATGCCTGCTTGCCATGCTCCCCTCCATGATGATAATGGACTAAAACTCTGAAACTGTAAGCAAACTCCCAATTAAAAGCTTCCCTTTATCAAATTTGTTTTCCACACGGTGTCTCCACGCAGCAACAGAACACTGACTAAGACAGTGAAGCCCACTAGCTCGCCTGCCTGGTGCACTTATAAATGGGAGTGGGTGGTGCTGATGAGGGGGAAGGGATACAGAGAAACACTAACACTAGAGAAAAAGAGAGAGGGTGGAGAGAAGAGGAAGGAGGAAAGGAAAAATTTTTATTAAAGTCACATCATTTATTATTTTATTAAAATACCTAATAAATACTCAAGAGCATTATTAAATCTTGAATTTTAGAATCTGACAGCATTAAAGAAACACCTCACTAGACCAGCTGAAAGTGAGCCTCTGCCTAGAAGCAAAAAAACATGCTGTCTTAACTGCTGTGAATTCATATGTGTAACTGCTCTGTCGTGCCCAGAAAACACTGTTAGAGTATGCTGGGGGATACAGGGAGGGATAGCTAACACTAAAGACATTTCAGAAACGTTATGTGGAAACCCACTTCTGTCGAAGCTTCTATATATATATATATATATATATATATATATATATATATATGTACATATGTGAAGGGCTTAATGGAGTTACCCTATGATGAAGTAATGGTGTCCCTATGAGATACCACAGGACAACATATGAAACACCCAGTGCCACAACTCTAAATAGGGGGGTGGTCTCCCTCACATCCCCCTTAGAGCTCAGGGAATGCTATGGAAGAGGAGGCAGAAAGAATGTGAGAGCCAGAGGGGGTGGAGGACACCAGGATAGCAAGGCCCTCTAGATCAGCTGTGCAAAGCTCTTAGGAACTCAGAGACTGAAGCAGCAAGCACAGGTCCTAAGGAGTCCGCACCAAGTCCTGTTTGCAAATAGTACAGCTTTCAGTGTGCACCAAGTCC